TAAAAGGGAACAGCAGAAAAAGGGATAACCTCAAAACCTTCCACTCCAGATATTTTTTTTTTATTTCCTTAGCTTTGTGACACTCTCCACATATCTCTTACTTCATTTGAAACAGGCCTAATTCTCAACACTGTGTACCCTGCTCTATCTCACATCAGGCTTGCTCTTGGTTATCCGTGTTGGGTGATGCTGTCGCTAATCTCTTGCCACCTATTTTAGGAGAACTTTGTTGCTAAGCAACAGAGCCATGCAAGAGAATGGAGGCTCCACTGTTGTAGTAAGCAAGTTAACATTTCCAAACCTGAGCCAAGATGGAACAGCTTCCAGCAAGAAATTGTGTCTTGTAGGCATAGATGGCACTGCTGTTTTCCTGAAAGCTTAATCATTCCACTTCTTGTCAGTAACTTTTCGTCTCCAAAGACAAGACATGATTTACAGAGTATACTAGAAGTGAGCAAAAACCAACCACTTTTCTAGTTCAACTACATATTACTTGAGGTCCAAGAAGCTTTTACACCCTTCAAGCTCATGTGAGAATGCTGAAAATTCCTTCCTTCCTTCCTTCCTTCCTTCCTTCCTTCCTTCCTTCCTTCCTTCCTTCCATCAACAGAAGCATTTCATAAATGGTCACCTAAGACAAAATCAAGTCTTCTTTCCTGGTTTCTGGATTCCTTATATAGACACTGCATCAGTCACTCAATGAAAGGTGTTAAATATTGCTGCACACCACTCCAAACTCTGAGCAATGTGAGATTCCACTGGTTCCAGGTGCTTACACAGAGTTTGTGTTTCCTTTGAAATGAGATACAGTGGAAATTGTGGTGCCCTTATGATATGTGGGATCATCTTAATAGATGGTCCTGATTGCAGGCCGGCCCTCAACCCGGTCCCTTCACCCTGGCATGGGTGGAGCCATTAACCTCACGGCAGGGTGGCACCACGGTTACCCAGGGCTATTGCCCAATCAATTTGAGTGGGGTGATCGTGGGGGGGGTATAAAAGTGGCAGTGTGCCAATCACCTGCTTTGTGCTGACAAACACCTGCCCACCCCCCCTTTAATTTAGGTGTCCTCTAGCCTTGCTTTGGACTTCAGTTGATTGCCCATCTTGGGATGGGGACCGGGTAGGAATTTTTCCATTTGGCAAATTGGCACTGGTCACTTGGTTTTCGCCTACTTCTTAGCAATCGTCACAACTTTGTAAGGTTTGGCGGTTAGGCATTGGCTTATTGTTGAGTGGGGGAGGGGAGGTTGGCCATAGCCTGCCCCTCCATTGTCCAAGGGTATTCCATTAAAGGAATCCAGGGCCTGGATCCTGTCCGAAGTCCGCTTGAGGGGCTAGGGCCAGGCCAGGCCTCTGGGAACACCGGGGGGAGATGCAGGCGGGTTCCCCTGAAGCAGCTCCCCTTTGGGTGGTTTACCCTTACAGACTTTCTGCAAAGGGGGCAGGAGTCCAATATAGTCTTTTGCCAATGCCTAAGCCAATGCCGCTCACATTTCCTGTAATCAATAAAGTTGTGGCCAAAATTTGCCCAATAACCTTAAACAAAAAAATCTGTGTCTGTGTGAATTTCTTTATTCTAATGGGGTCTTGAGGGTCTTGACATGCAAATGGTTTATTTACACATATATACAACCTGAGCCTACAATGGAGGGGTTCACAGCATTAACACCCCATAGTGTTTCTTCCCCTAAAGCCACAGCCTTGGATTCAACTAAAAATCAATCAGGCATCTCTCTCTCTCTCTCTCTCCCTCTCTCTCTCTCTCTCTCTCTCCTCCCAGTCTGCTTCCTTGCTTCTAGCTCATGTCACTCAACAGCCCCCTCTCCTCTCTGGCCTTTCTCTTTCTAACTAACAGTGAATTGAAAGACTCCCAGTCCTCATTGCTGCACAAAGATAGCGTGCAAGGAGTCTGGGGATAGTAGACATGATGAGGTAAGGCATACAAAATGGAAATAATTAAGACTAGGTCATTTGTTTTTGCCTTTATTTTGTGGAGTAATTAGATTTTGTTTTTTAAAATCACTGTGCATATTTTACAATCAAAAAGTGCCCAGTAGTTTGGGATGGCTCAGCTTGAAACACGTTTTGGACATGATTTGCAGAAGTCTCAAGCCTTGTTCTGGTAGCAATATATGTGGTCCTGGTGGCAGTCTTCCAAATTCTTGAGGCTGCATGAATCACCGTCAAATCACTGTGGCTGTATCCATGGATGGTCACACATTATTACATCATGTCAGCTATGCATGTGACTGGTGACATAAAGGTATTTTAATTTTTGTCACGTGAAGCAGCCCCAGGACATGCTGAAAATATACACACTTCTGATATCTAGATATTAAAGTGTGTCCCACAAGACAAGGGTGGACAGAGGGTAGTTTGGCAACTACTCCCAGACCTCTATGTGTTCTGCAGTGGAATTGCAAGGATTTCTGACTCTCAGTTGTTTAGCAGTAGCTTTGGGGTAGCCAGGAGTAGAATTTTGTGTAGAAAAGCTATGTACTCCATTCATTTCTGATACAGTGGTACCTCGCAAGACGAATGCCTCGCAAGACAAAAAACCCGCAAGACAAAAGGGTTTTTTGAGCTGCTTCGCAAGACGATTTTCCCTATGGGCTTGCTTCGCAAGACGGAAACGTCTTGCAAGTTTGTTTCCCTTTTCTTAACACCGTTAATACAGTTGCGACTTGACTTCGAGGAGCAACTCACAGAACGCGGTGTGGTAGCCTTTTTTGAGGTTTTTAAAGACTTTGGTGATTTTTGAAGCTTTTCCAAAACTTTCCCGACACCGTGCTTCGCAAGACGAAAAAAATCGCAAGACGACAAAACTCACGGAATGAATTAATTTCGTCTTGCGAGGCACCACTGTACTCAAAACAAATTCCTGGGCTCAGAGTTTTTAAATTTGAAGTGCATGTTTTTTGCACCAGGCTCCAGCTGGCAGATGTTGGGGTTCTACTAAAATAAAATAAAAGAATGTCCTGCAAGGTTTAAGTCTTTTCATTCTTGCTCTTTAAATGAAGGTGGTTTCTAGAAATGCTTAATGAGGTGTGTCTGCGATTCAGGGTTTCCCAAACTTCTAAGTTCATTGATCCCTTGATGAGCTTATAAAGCTGTCATCAACCCTCAACCTGAATTCTGAGAAATGTACATACATACATACATACATACACACATAATTGGATTTGCATGCTGCCTTTCCACAGTCCAAACAATGCTTAAGGTGGCTTACAACATTAAAAAAAACACATAACTACAGCATATCAAAAGGAATCATAAACAATAAAGGAAAAATATAAAATACACAACCAAAACTGAACATTTTCCACATAAATCACAAGATCTAAAATAAAGATACAAAAATTCAACAGCAACAGCAACATCAACATCAACCCCCTAAGCCCCCAAGACAACACCCTATTTATTAAATTAAATAAAGTAAAGAAATATCAATATATAATAAACATTGGTTAATCATCCATCACCATGATGATGGCTTTTTTTTTAAAAAAAAATTGCTGTTATTTTTTACCTATGTCATTTTAAAGTGTGATATGAATACTGTATTCTTAGTTTTAGATTTTAGATTTATGTGGAAATTGTTTTCCACTTGCTTGTGTATTTTATTATGTGGTTTATTTATTGTTTATGACTTCTGTAAATCGTTTCCTATTGTAAGCCGCCTTGATCATTGTTTTCGACTGTGGAAAGGCGGCATACAAATAAAATGATGATGATGATGATGATGATGACCATTACAAGGAGTAATGAAATGTAAAAAATAAGGCGGTAAAGCAAGTGAAAACAATAATGACAAACAATAAAACTACATGGTCTGAGAATACTGTTGCATCGTGGAATCATTGTAATAAATACAGAGGCTCTTCATTGACAAGGGAGATACACTCCCACCCAATGGTTCTTCCCAACCCTTAGATCTTTATTTATCCCCTGGACAGCCCCCTCATCCCCAGGGGGTCGGTACTGACTTCTGTGGGAAACCCTGATGTAAATAGGCCACATAGGAGCATAATGTGGTACAATAAGGTATTGCCTTGTGAGCAGCAATTTTTATCTGCCAAATGTGGAAGGGTATGTATTACCACACTGCAGTGAAGGGAAGGGCCATAAGGAGCCAGTGTGGTGTAGTGGTTAAGAGCGGTAGACTCATAATCTGGTGAACCAGGTTCGCTTCCCCACTCCTCCACATGCAGCTGCTGGGTGACCTTGGGCTAGTCACACTTCTCTGAAGTCTCTCAGCCCCACTCACCTCACAGAGTATTTGTTGTGGGGAGGAAGGGGAAAGGAGAATGTTAGCCACTTTGAGACTCCTTTGGGTAGTGATAAAGCGGGATATCAAATCCAAACTCTTTTTAGCTCAGTGACATGTTTTGCATGCAGAAGGCCCCAGCTTCAAGCCCTGGCATCTACAGATATGGCTGGGAAAGATTCCTGCCCAAAACCCTGGTGAGCCACTGCGAGTCTGTGTAGGTAATGCTGAATTTGATGTGCTAGATGGACCAATGCTATGGCTCAGCAGAAGAGAATTTCCTGCGTTCCTCAGACCTCTAGATCTGTACTAAATCGGTGTTGTTAATTTCAGCAAACGCTGCAATGTGTGTGTGTGTGTGTGTGTGTGCACCATGGGAATGTGGGTGAAATACCATACGTAATGTCTGGATTTTCCATGGGATTTCCAAGGTGGAATTGACATCTGGGGGGAATTTCCAAGGGGGAAAAAGTTTAACAAATATGGGGTTTTCTAAAGAAAAAAGAAAAAAGAAAAAGCTGAGGGCATCCAATTTTTATTTTTTTTTAAAAATATGGCAACCCTAGACAGCAATCCTGGTGCAAGTTGCAATGGAACTCACTTGGATAGTATCAGTATTGTAAAAAGACACACCTCCAGCTGGTTCTCCAAGAGCATCATAGCTATTTAAAATAGCTGCCTGTGATTCCTATTTAAGTATCACGGCTTCTTTTCCTTTATTTAATTACAGGTAACTGAAAATGTCAGACACTGAAGAGATCATTGAGGAATATGAAGAGTAAGTACTAGGTTCTTCAATGTTTTCCTTTCCCATCTATATGCAGAAATGTGTCTTGCTTTTCTGTCACTCACTTTGATTTATGTGGCTGTGTGGTCATTCAGATATGCCATTCTTATATTTCTAGAATCTGGTCCAGAGGGGAGATAAATCACAGCATGAAATCATTCTGAATGATTAGGGTGCTGATCCATAGCAAATATTTTATTTATCTTCCCCTCTGATGTTTAGGTAGTGAGTGCTGCTGTGTAAAGAGCTAAAATGCTACTATCTACATACAAGAAAGAGGTTGCACTTGGGGAAACCATTCTTTAGGAAAAAGCTCTGAAGGGGGAAACCTCCGAAAGAGGCCAATAAGAACTGAGCATGCTCAGTGTTTTCAGAATGCTGTCTGACTCTTGGGAGGTGAACTGGAAAATAGGGCTGGAGAATGGAATGGAGAGGCTGGAATCTTGAACACAAGGACTGCATACTGCAATATTTTGTTCCAGGTCATTAGATAATAGCAATTGATAAACCTAACATTTATGCATTTGTGTAACACTTCCTTTTTTTTAAAGTGCTAGTGAGCTAGCCCCCCCCCCTTTAGCCTGTGATCTTTGGATGAAGGGTGGTATAGAAATTCAATAAATTAATAATAATAATAATAATAATAATAATAATAATAATAATAATAATAATATAAGGAGGGAGTGAAGATCAGAATCAGAATTTTTTTATCAGCATGGGAATAATAATATATCAGCATGGGAATAATAATAATAATAATAATAATAATAATAATTTATATCCTGCCCATCTGGCTGGGTTTCCCCAGCCACTCTGGGCGGCTCCCAGTAGAATGTTAAAAACCACAATAAATACATCAAACATTAAAAACTTCCCTAAACAGGGCTGCCTTCAGATATCTTCTAAAAGTCAGATAGTTGTTTATTTCCTTGACATCTGATGGGAGGGCATTCCACAGGGCAGGCACCACCACCAAGAAGCCCCTCTGCCTGGTTCCCTGTAGCGTCACTTCTCGCAGTGAGAGAACCGCCAAAAGGCTTCAGAGTCCTCAGTGTCCAGGCTGAAGGATGGGGGTGGAGATGCTCCTTCAGGTATACTGGATATAAAAACACACACTTAACAAAGTAGAGCTGCGGAAGTGCCAATTTCTATTTCACTTCAGGCACCACAAATGTCTAGGGCCAATCCTCTTGATAATTTTAGTATTTCTGATAAAGCACTTAGAGAGTTTGTTACAAGCAAGTGGTATATAAATTTTATCAGAAAACGAAGTGTTGAGAAGGGATTCCAAACCCCAGAGGTGAGGGTCTCACTAGGCTTCTTCTAAAATTAAAAGAGAATCTGGGTCTCTGAGGATTCTCAGGACCTTCATGTAGGAAACCTGACCCAAGCATAGAATGACAGGCTGTTGGGATTTAAACATTTTGGATACTGGAAGAAATGTAGATACAGTACTTAATTAGGAACCAGTAAGAGCCATGGGACGTGGGTGGTGCTGTGGGTAAAAGCCTCAGCGCCTAGGGCTTGCCAATTGAAGGTCGGTGTTCGAATCCCCACGGCGGGTGCGCTCCCGTTGCTCATCCCAGCGCCTGCCAACCAGCATTCCGAAAGCACCCCGGGTTGCAAGTATAAATAGGACCGCTTCTGGCGGGGAAGGTAAACGGCGTTCCGTGTGCGCGCTGGCTCGGCCAGAGAGCTTTCACCGCGACCACATGACCTGGAAGTGTCTCCGGACAGCGCTGGCTCCCGGCCTATAGAGTGAGATGGGCGCACAACCCCAGAGTCTGTCAAGACTGGCCCGTACGGGCAGGGGTACCTTTACCTTTACCTTTAAGAGCCATACAGCTATAAATTCCTGGGAGGTATAGATGGCTTATGACTTGGTTATGTCTGTAATTTGGGAAATTCTTCCTACCTTTTTTGATCCCGTTACTCCCACTCACGAAGACTTTCTCAGTTTTCTACACTCCCATAGCTCACTCATCAGCTTCTTGTTTTCCAACTGCAAGGACTAACCCAAGAGAGAGAGCACTGAAAAATGCTCCTTTCACAGCCTGCCACATTCCTGCTCTGGCATTTTTATCAACACCTGTTCCAGTTACTTGAGCTGCATCTCCAGCTGATGCGCAACATGAAGTCATGCCTAAGCATGTCGTATAGGCAACCTGCTACTTCCAGTCCTCTCCCCGAAAAATAAGCTGGCCCTAGATCTGCATGTCACTTCACTTAAATGTAGCTAACTGTCCCTTAACACAGCAAGCTTTTAATTGCATGAGGTGGGGTGTGAGATGGCCCCAGGTATCTGCTTATCTGTTCCAGGAGTTTGGAAATATATGTGAACTCCTGCCACCATATAGGCAGAATCCACTCAGCAAACAAAAAACAAAAACCCTGACTGTGGAACAAACAGAAGTGTCTTGTTGCGGCATCTTAAAGCTAGCAGATTTATTCCGGCATGAAATTTTGTGCGACATGACTCTTCTCCGCTGTTTCTGCTTAAACTCTTCTCCGCTGTTTCTGGCATAAATTGTAAGTTGTAACTTGGTTGTAGTGCATTCTTCCAAAAAGAATATGTGTCAGAGACCATGGATCATGTTGTTCTAAAATCACTTACAGTGGTACCTCGGCTTAAGTAATTAATTCGTTCCGGAGGTCTGTACTTAACCTGAAACAGTTCTTAACCTGAAGCACCACTTTAGCTAATGGGGCCTCCCGCTGCCGCCGTGCCGCCGGAGCACGATTTCTGTTCTCATCCTGAAGCAAAGTTCTTAACCCGAGGTACTATTTCTGGGTTAGCGGAGTCTGTAACCTGAAGTGTCTGTAACCTGAAGCGTATGTAACCTGAGGTACCACTGTATTATTATTATTATTATTATTATTATTATTATTATTATTATTATTATTGCAAACCAGCCATTATTCTAATCTAGGTGTTTTCCCTTCTGCTTTACAGGGAACAGGAAGGTAAGGGAATGAAAACTGTCAGATTAAGCATGTTTTCCAAATCCACCATTGCTGCTCTAATAACGCTCTCTCTTTTCCTCTCTTCCGACTTGATGCAGAAGAATGCGTCGAAGAAGGTAGGCTTCCATTGTTACTATAAGAGTCAAGATTAGATGAGGTGATGTGTTCTATTGGGTCATAACACCATGCCATTAAAAAAAACTATTATGGGATTGGAGACCTTAATATGTATCATGAATTTGTTATTTACATATACTGTATATGAAAAACTATTAGGTGTCTCAGTGTAGCGAGTGTAGCTACAGTGGTGCCTCGCAAGACGAAATTAATTCGTTCCGCAAGTATTTTTGTCTTGCGATTTTTCCGTCTTGTGAAGCACGGTTTCGGAAAAGTTTTGGAAAAGCTTCAAAAATCACCAAAGTCTTCAAAAACCTCAAAAAAGGCTACCACACCGCGTGCTATGAGTTGCTCCTTGAAGTCAAGTCGCAACTGTATTAACGGTTTTAAGAAAAAGGAAACAAACTTGCAAGACGTTTCCATCTTGCAAAGCAAGCCCATAGGGAAATTCGTCTTGCGAAGCAACTCAAAAAACCAAAAACCCTTTCGTCTTGCGAGTTTTCCGTCTTGCGAGGCATTCGTCTTGCAAGGTACCACTGTACTGCTGTGTAGCTACATTGTCTGAAAAGGCACTTTTGCTCATGTCACCATCATCTGAAATGGTGATATGGGGGAGAGCTTGTTTTCTGTAGTGGCTTAGAAGTGGCTCCCACTATGGGGACCTCCTGGTCACATGAGGTTCTGTTTCTTTGGTAGTGTTCTATCATAAAACTGTTCTGTTTCAACTGGAAACTCCTTACAGAGTTTTTGTGTGAAGAAACAAATGAACGTATGATATCTGGGTTTGAGGATTGAAGAAAATATTGATGCATAGAAAGTGGAATTGTTGAGTGTTTTCTTGGAGAGGATGTTTTGAACAATTTCCTATTTATAGCTGACAGACAAAAAATCCCTTTTATTTTATATTATTTTATTTTCTTCCTTCCTTTTGTTTTTAGTTTTTATTTAGATTAGAATTTTATCTTTCATAAAAAATATATTTGATATTTGATACTAATCTTTATTTTTTCTTTCAAACTTTAATAAAAAATCTATTGAACCACTAATAAAATCTATTGAAATCTGTGTAAACAATTATAATAATAATAAATTTTTAATAATTTTAAAAAGCAAATAATATGTGGACAAGTAAAAGTGCAGATTTGTCCAAGTAGCCTCGTGGATTTCTCAGATATACCAAAAAGTGCAGAAAAGTGTAGGTTGAATACGGCTGAGTATTTGCCTAATATTGTCTGTTATGAACATTTAATCCAGCCTTCATCAACTTGGTGCCCACTTGGTGTTTTGAACTACAGCTTTCACCCATTGGCTGTGGCTGATGGGAATTTTAGTCCAACAGATCTGGAGGGTACCCATTTGGTGCAGGCTAACTTAATCTACTATTTTAGGAACCTGGGTAGAGTATTTCATTGCCAACGGGACTGACACTGATAAACTCAGTCTGGAATGTGCTTTCTGCTGCTTGCATAGTATCACTAGAAGCTGATCAATGTGTCTTTGTGTTTATTTATTTTTTACAAGCACACCTCCTCTTCTATTCTTTTGTATGAGGGCATAATTACTGCCTCTGTGTGTGCATGGATATGTGGGTGTTCTGAATGTTCCAGGCCTTAATATCCTATTGAACTTGGCAAATGCTTGACTTCACAAGTGCTTGGCATCTGAAAACTAGGCGTGCACACAAAGGCAAAGCAAAGATCAGAACAAGAGAAAGCCGTTTTGCCTGTAGATGCTCTAGCTTGAAGCCACAGCTTTCTGTGATCCCTCGCTAACCTTTTCTACTTATTCCCTTTCACCATCCTTGCTTGCCCTGGTTAAGAAGAGGAAGAATGGATAGAGGTGGAAGACGGTAGTAGAACATTTCTTTACATTTCACTTTGCTGCTGCTTGCCAATGACACACAGGCAGAATACTTACTGACCTATCGTGCATGGAAATCATAAGCATTTATGTACTGTGTGCATCAGTCAAAGGCCATACCAGTTTGGAGAGCTATTTAATTCCTTCCTCCGAAAGAGCCCTGGAAATTGCAGTTTTGGAAGGAGGGGCTAGAGATCTCTCCCAGAGAATTCTCAGCATCTCCCCAAAATACAGTTTCCAGGATTCTTTGGGAGAAGCCAGGATTATAAACAGTCTAAAATCTATATATGTTTGTAGTATTGGTATTATGTAGCCTATGCAGGTTTGTGGCTTTTGTTTAAAATCACATGTGGCAAGTGGGCTCATTCCTACTCCCCTCCTCAATGTGTTGGTTTAATACAAAAAAAAAAAAAATGCCTAGTGCTTATATAATAGCATCATTCACATTTGGGTACCAGAAGGTAGCCTTTGTGGGTGACAGTACAATTTCTGATTAACTCCTTTTGCACCATTTATTTCCATATCTGATATTTAAAGTGAGACATTTCTGAGAGCCACTGTCTTTTAACCCTGGTCACAAAAAATCTAAATGAGATTCCATCATCTCCTGTGGCATCAAAACCGATAAGTAAATTGTGTGGTGTGTGTGAAGACATGTTTCATTTCTCCAATTTTACAAGGTGACCCTGAGTTCTGGTATGATGGAAGAACCCTTCCATCGATCCACTTTCTTCACACCAGACCTCATAAGCTTCTATCACATCTCGCCTCTTTAGTTATCTGTTTTAAAAACTAAAAATCCCCAGATGCTCGGCTTTTCTCTGTAGGTGAATGTGTTGTAAACCTCTGACCATTTTGGTTGCCCTTTCTTCTTTGTTGCTCTGCATTTAATAATATTGCGATGGACCAGGAATGTGGACCTTGACTAATAACCTGCCTCTACATTTGAGGTGTGTATCATGTTGAGGACCGCTGAAGCTCATTTCAAACCCTACCTCCCACAACAGAAACATCATTGAACCGCAATGTGTTCAGTTTAAGATGGCAGTCCCAAGTTATCACTTGTCATTAGCCATGTTCTAGAAATATGCTATCTATCTTTCCCAACCCCTCTTCTCTGACCAACGTCCCAATGGCTGGGATTCATTACCTCAAGCAGAATTTTGTGTAGGCCAACAATGAAAATTCTCAGATCTGTTGATGTCATCCTGCTGTTTTCTTCCTTAGAACAAGAACAAGAAGAACAAGAACAAGCTGAAGAAGTGAAGGAAGATGAAGATGAACCTAGGACAGAAGGTATGATGTTCTGGTGAAACATCTCTGGCCAATACAAGCATTGTGATGGAGGGTCCTTTTCAGGTAGAACCCTTCACTAAATAAAAATTCAGCAGCATTGTTTTGGTTAAGCTGTGATCTCAGAGCACACTTGTCATTTTGGGGCCTGGGAGTGTAAAAAGGTAAAAGTAGAAAAATTATAGTAAGAATGGGGGATAAAAATAATTCAGTTTGCAAGTAAAGTTGAACTTACACAATCCCCACTGTTTGAAATGCTATGAGAACCAAAACACCACAAGCCTTCAAAATTCACATTTAACTGAAATTTTCACTGTGTTTTTCCAACCAAACAGTGCTTACAGAAATGCATATACAGTGGTACCCCGCAAGACGAACGCCTCGCAAGACGGAAAACCCGCTAGACGAAAGGGTTTTCCGTTTTGGAGGCACTTCGCAAAACGAATTTCCCTATGGGCTTGCTTCGCAAGACGAAAGCCCATAGGGAAATCTCCGGGGACCTCTTTTAAATGCTAGCGGTGGGGAGCAAAGCCTTTCCCCCCCCCTCCGGCCTTCAGAAGAGGTCCAGGAAGGCTGGCGGGGGCCGAAAGGCTTTGCTCCCCAGCGCCAGCATTTTAAAAGCAGTCCGGGATAGCAGGGAAGCGCTTCCCGCTATCCCGGACGGCTTTTGAAGGCAGGAGAGGTCCGCGAAGCCTGGGCGCGCTGATGTCAGCGCCCGCAGGCTTCGGCATGCCGGCAAGTCTCCGCCAGCAGCAGCAGCGTTGCCGCTGCTGGCGGAGCAGTCCGCGAAGCCTGGGCGCGCTGATGTTAGCGCGCGCAGGCTTCGGCATGCCGGCAAGTCTCCGCCAGCAGCAGCAACCCTGCCGCTGCTGGCGGAGCGGTGCGCGAAGCCTGGGCGCGCTGATGTTAGCGCGCGCAGGCTTCGGCATGCCGGCAAGTCTCCGCCAGCAGCAGCAGCGTTGCCGCTGCTGGCGGAGCGGTCCGCGAAGCCTGGGCGCGCTGATGTTAGCGCGCGCAGGCTTCGGCATGCCGGCAAGTCTCCGCCAGCAGCAGCAACCCTGCCGCTGCTGGCGGAGCGGTGCGCGAAGCCTGGGCGCGCTGATGTTAGCGCGCGCAAGCTTCGGCATGCCGGCAAGTCTCCGCCAGCAGCAGCAACCCTGCCGCTGCTGGCGGAGCAGTCCGCGAAGCATGGGCGCGCTGATGTCAGCGCGCGCAGGCTTCGGCATGCTGGCAGAGGTCCGCGAAGCTTTGGCCGGACAGCTTTTGAAGGCAGGCGGGGGGAGCAAAGACTTTCGCCCCCGCCAGCCTTCAGAAGAGGTCCTGGACCTCTTCTGAAGGCTGGCGGGGGGCAAAAGTCTTTGTCCCCCCTGCCTGCCTTCCCAGGGGCTTTTAAATCGCCCCGGACAGCGGAGAAGTCCTCCGCTGTCCCGGGGCGATTTTAAAATGCCGCCCGCCAGCATTTTAAGATCGCCCCGGACAGCGGAGAAGCCCTCCGCTGTCCCGGGGTTTTTTAAAATGCTGGGGGTGGGAAGAAAAGCCCTTGTCCCCCCCCCCAGCCTTCAGAAGAGGTCGGGGGACAGACTGTCCCCGGACCTGGTCTGAAGTCGGTTTCCCTAGGAACGCATTAATTGATTTTCAATGCATTCCTATGGGAAACCGTGCATCGCAAGACGAAAAACTCGCAAGAAGAAAAAACTTGCGGAATGAATTAATTTCGTCTTGCGAGGCACCACTGTATTAGAAGAAAGTGTGCATAAAAATGAATATATTCATGAAATTAACATACAAAAAAATGTACTCAACATAGCACTGAGGAGATCTTTCTGTCAGCACAAGCTGTACACTGGGGAGTTCTGACTCCCCAGAGCAGTTTTGGAAGAGTGGGGTGAAAGCCTTTTGGCACTAGTTGAATTTGGTTCATTACATTGGGGAAAATGCTTGCAAAAATGTACAAACATGTGCTTATTAGGAAAAACGTGCTGGCAATTTTTAAAGAAATCTGCAAATTGCTGCAGAAATGTGGAAAACTGGATGGGAAAATGAAAAATTGAGAGAATGCAAATTGACAAATCCGCTGCATGCCTAGTGGTTGGTCCCTTGTACGTGGTGTATGTTTCTTGAGTAATAATCTTCTATAACAATGTTCCATCCCTCTATGAGTCTGGCTGTTTTTCTGCATTCTCCTTAATACTTTACCAGCATGGGCAGTAAAGGAAAGCTGATGGCACAGGAAGATCATCTGTGTTTGGCGAATGGGCAGCCTTGCACTTGCAGAGAACCCCCCACAAAGATACGCTCCCCTTAAAAAAAAACCAAAAACTGTGTGGAGGAACATCATGGCTTTATGGAATGCCACCCCATGCTTTGGTGACATCAGCAATCATTACATCCTATAAACAAATATTATTATTTTTCCACTGTGGAAAGGGAAACAAAGCATCTGGCACTCTTTACTGATAGTAATTCTGCTTTCCCCTCTGACTATAGAGGGAGGGAAACCTGTAATATTTTCAGGGGAAATAATGTATTGGGAAAAGTTTTCCAAAATTGGTACCCCCCCCCCAACCTGTTCCCAGAATTTTACTGATGAAAGCCACCTTCTTTGGTGAGTCCAACTGTTCTGGTATTCATAACATTGACATCACATCACCATCTGTCGTGTAGCTTCTGGTGTTGTGAAAAATGCAAAAGAGGGGACGCCCCTGTCTCTGATCACCAAATACCAGAATGCCAGCAATGTAAACTCTCCCAGCAATGGGTGAATGAACTATGAAGCATGCTGGGAATGCCGTAATCACAGCTTAGAGGAAATAAATGTATCAGGGAGTGTGGGGATTCTAGACACAACTGCGCTGGCGTGGTACATCTCTAATCAAAATTCTTTGCTCTCCTTTTAAAATAGAACAAGAAGAGCAAGCTAAAGAACCAGAAGGTAAATGAAAAGTGTGCACCGTGGTCCAGTATATGTGCTAGGGATGCTTGAGGAGTTCAGTTTCTATAAAATTCAAAGTAAACTGATCTGGTCTGCACTTCCTGGATGAACGTGCAGATGGGGAAGCAGTTATCCTTTGGATTTTGCATCTCTCCCAAATTTGCAGTAGTGGTCTCAGCTCAAAGAAATTACCAGAAGGAAATGCATATATTGTGATAAAATGTAAATATACAGATCTTAATGCTGATATATAAAAAACCAATTCACAAGTGTGTGTTAAAATGGGACTGAAGTCATACAATGTCCCATCACGCAACTGTTACAATTTTGAGAGCATTTCCCCATCATTTTCCTTACTTAAATAAGTCCATTTTTTTTTTTTTGGAAGCAGGTTTGTTGGATAAGTGTACAAAATCCATGTCAATCGGCCTGAGAAACCGAGGCAGGAACTAGAAAGGAGAGGTGCGCATTCCCCTGCAGTTCAAGAGTTAAGAACTCTGAAACACACACAGACATACTAAAAAAAATTCTGCCCAAGCCTTTATTCACATGAAAAAGTAAAGGGGGAGATGAGAGATGAGCGGTGGGAGGGTTGTGGAGCAGAAACAACCCATATAAGCCTTAAGGGAATCAGTAGACCTGTCTCTTCAATTTATCTACAAAGGGAGCAGGTAAATATTTCTGTCTGGCAACTCTTTAAATGTTCATTTGGTTTCTTGCAGGAGAATCAAAGCCTAGGCCCAAGTAAGTATAAGTAAAGTGGATTTTGATGTTATGGTTAGCAGGCAGTTGTTGAGGCAGGAGCAGTTGTATGGAAGGGGGAAAGGAGATGGTGAGTACAAGCACGACTGAAGAAAAATAGAGAGATGTCAACATTTGACATATTATATTATTGGCTTCCTAAAAATGCAATTAATGGCAGATTTGTAGCATGGTGCACATTTACCTGGAAGTGAGTCCTGCCGAGGATGGTAAACTGTACTTCCAAATCAACATGCACAGGATTGCACTGTTAACAGAATCTTTTTAAACAACAGCAACACTGAAATTTCAAAAAAGCAAATGCATGGTCTCTTTGGGTGGTACAAAATTATCTAGATTTTTTTTAAAAAAAATTGCCCACAAATGCAGAAACACTGCTAAATGCAGCAGGCAAAGTGATGAGACACTATCTCAAGAACAACATTCCCACCCCAGCCTGCCCAGTGATGAAGTTATTACAGCTGTTCAGTGGCTCGTATAAGTCAAGTCAAGGAAACTTAAGACTACTGTGACAGCTGCGGCCATTGTAAAAAGCTCAGCAACCGGTATGGCATTCCATACGGCGCCCTCCAAGAAGCTATAAATTGTTCCCTCAGCTTGGAACTACGTTCAGTTTGACATCCAGTTTAAATAAAATGTGCAGAGTGAGTTCTGAGACAGGTTAGTGTAAGGTTAGCTGCTCCCTCCCAGATTTTCATTGTTAGGAATTGAAGTTTCACCATTTATCATTCTGCAGAGCGTTTTTTTCTGATTTGATGGGTTTATCTAGTTATTAGACTACTGGACACATGTATGGATATAAGATGCTTAGGGTTCTCCCCCCTTTTACCTTGCATTTAGTGTCAGGTTGCTGTTGTTTTTAAAATAATTATATCTTCCATTTATGCCATCTATGGACTCATCCACTTCCATTTGTCACTGGTTTCTAGGCATATATCTATGATTTGTAAGGCATGGGTGCTAGCAGGGTACTGCGATAGTTCAGTCGATAGAGCATGAGATTCTTCATCTCAGGGCCATGGTTTGAGCCCCATATTGGGCAGAAGATTCCTGCATTGCAGAGGGTTGGACTAGAGGATCCCTGTGGTCCCTTTCCAGTGCTACAATTATATGCTTCTGCTTTTGTCTATATTGTCTTGGCCAGATTTACTTGGAACCCAGAGACAGACCTCTTTGAAATCAATGGATTAAGCATGGATTCATGTGGGAGATTAATAATATCAGCCAACCCTGATAAAGAGATGAGACGCCAGGTGTTGCTATACTAGTGGCTTACCTCTTTATTTTCCCCTGCCCTCCTATTTCAGGCTATTTATGCCAAATTTGGTGCCTCCAAAGATCCCTGATGGGGAGAGAGTGGACTTTGATGTGAGTATTAGCCATCATCATCTCATAAAGCGCTCTCTCTCTCTCTCTCTCTCTCTCTCTCTCTGTGTGTGTGTGTGTGTAACATACCAAACCCTCATATTGTCTTTTCTGCTTTGCAGGACATTCACCGCAAGAGAATGGAGAAGGATCTGAATGAGCTGCAAACCCTGATTGAGGCCCACTTTGAGAACCGGAAGAAAGAGGAGGAAGAGCTGATATTCCTCAAGGACAGAATAGTATGTCTCTTCCAAAAAGAAGAGAGGACTTAAGAGTGTTCATGTTTCATTCAGATCCTAAAGCCACTTGTCAGTGATGCAGAGCCCCAAAGATAGACATCCCACACATATTCTGGGAATGCTTAAAAATGCACATTCACCATATAATTAATGAAATGACAGGATTTTATTTATTGTCTAGACCCCAAAACTATATTCTGGACTATTTTAAAGCCCCAGTTTTAGAGGCTGATCTAGAAGTATGAGCTAACATGGGTGCAATAGGTAGCTATAATATTATATTTTTTTACCATGGGAGGTATCATTTGGATGCTCAGGTGGCAAAATGTCAGGTGTCCAGCATTTTCAATAGTGTTATAGTTTCAGCCTCAACTGTGACTGCCTCAGGCCATGCTGAGTTAAGGCGGGGGGCATTCATCAGAGTATACCAGATCCTCTCCCTGAACAGGTGCTGGGCTGATTTCCTCCTATAGGAGCAGCGGCGAGCAGAACGAGCTGAACAGCAACGGATCCGCAGTGAGCGCGAGAAGGAACGTCAGGCCCGCTTCGCTGTGAGTATACCCAAGACACGAAGTCTACAGCAAAAAGTCACTTCAATGCCTTTATGAGTTTTGTTGTTGTTGTTGTTCTGACAAACCCCCATTTATGCATGGGGCAAATTTTCCACTTAGCTGCTCATGTAAGAGTTATACTCAAGCAGTAATACGAGCCCATCATCCCTGGTCAACCAGGGAACCCAAAGCCTTGGAATTCAGGAATCACTGACATAGGCCTTATGCATAACAGACCAAAACCAGACTAGAATTGCTCAGTTTATAATGAAAGCACCACTGTTACTTATTTTTCTAAGTGTTCCCTTTCCCCAAGTGCAGAAAAACAAGGAGGAACTGATCTGGAATTGGCTAATGCGCTTGCTTACTAACCGGGATTGGGGAACAGAACTCATCCTGTCTGATTTGTGTCCATTCAGTCTCCTAAACAAGTTTCTATTTGATGTCCCTGTAGATCAGGGATGCGGATCCTGTGGACCTCCAGATGCTGTCGTTTGACTCAAACTCCTGTCATCCCTGGCTGGGATGATGGTGGCATTTGGAGGCCCACTGGTTAATTGCTCCTGCTGTAGACAGATTCTCTTTAACTATCTGCCATTCTGAAACCTCTCTGTCATTCTGCAGGAAGAGAGAGCCCGGAAAGAGGAAGAAGAAAATAGGAAGAGGGCTGAAGAGGATGCCAGGAAGAAGAAGGCTTTCTCCAATATGCTCCATTTTGGAGGCTACCTACAGAAGGTACCTATCTAGCCTGAATGTTCTTCCAGAAACTGAAACCCACATCTGGGGACAGAATTTTCTGTCTGGGTATCTACTCACCTACATGTTGTATGCCAAAATAGCTCAAATAGAGACTGGTAAAGGTACAATGAGAGTGTATCAGGAGCTTTTTAGTCTTCGTTTTAATCTATGTGTACTTATATCCTCCGCATTCATAGCCCATGTACCTGTCTGATGAACTGGGCTGATGAACTCTGATGCCACTCAAGAACTGTTTTTTTTAGACAGAGAAGAAAAGTGGGAAAAAACAGACAGAGCGGGAGAAGAAGAAAAAGATCCTCAGCGAGCGTCGAAAACCTTTAACCATCGATCACTTGAATGAAGACAAATTGAAGTAAGAAGGGAAGCTAGTTCTGGGGGCAGCAGCCAGAGACTCGGGGGCCAGTAGGGACCTATTTCCTTCATGATGAAGAAATTAGATGAAAACAATCTTCTACCTGCCACTTTCCCCATATTTGTGATTTGTGGTCTCTCAGAGGGCCAAACTAGACATGACTTCAAATGCGTTCTTTGCCTTTAACATACAGACTTTTTGTTTTTAAATAAAAATAACATCTACTGAGGGGACTGATAATTATTGGGATCAGAACAAGCTTTTCTAGGCTAAAGTACACTGGAGGCACAGTGACCTTAACATAAGACAGCTCCTAAAGCGTTGTAAGATTGCCACAATCCTACAGTTATAGCATGCATTGTGTGCTATGCTGTTATCCATATTTGGGGTTATGTAAACACAATGCAATGCTGGCTTGGCTATTACTATGGTACTATAGGGTATAGTTAGGGCACATGTGGCAATGTTCCCCTTGCTTCTTAGTCCATCACTCCTTGGAAGTGTTAACTGCCCACAACATGCATTAAATGGTAGCAGAAGGTATTATATCCCACATGGTTACAAGTCAGGAAGCCATAAGGGGCTGTTAAATAGTACTAATGCTTGCTCATCCAATTATCATGCACTGTTTCCAAATGCTACCTGCATTTGAGTTTAAGCAGACAGAGTCAAATGAAAAGGAGGGAGCCAGAACACTAGAGGGTGCAATAAGCACATGGAAACATATTGGAGGTGATGCAGTATGAAACCTCAGGTAGATCAAGGGCTTAACTACATATTACATCAGCTGTGTGACTTGCAGCCACATCCAGGGATTAAAAAAACCCTACAGGTTGGGCATGATTTCAACCAGAACCACAGTATGTGCATCCCCAGTCAAAAATGCCCTAATCCTCATGCTGCAATAATCAATGGGAAAAAAACCCTGCTTATGTGGTTCGGTGATGCATATTAGTCCTATTCAGGCATTGCCACCTAAAGAGGAAACATGGGCAGAGAGAGCCTTCACTGGTACATAAGATTACCCAGAGCAGATGTCCATTGTAAGCACATGAAGAGCCAGAGGAGTTGTGTGGGGAGGGGGGCTAAAGGTGTATCCTGAAATCTCTCTCTACTCATGTGTTCCCTCGATGTGGTAATGTCTGAAGAGGGCCGCTGCTTCACTTGTGCCCAAGTTGTTCCACACTTGGCAGAAGACCCAGTTGTGGCAAAAGCATCAGCATAGGTACTTGTAAAGTAGGAATTTACTAAAATGTGTGATTTAAATTTAAGCACAAGTTAAAGATAAAGACATAAATGGGTTGAAAGGTTGACAACTGGGACTTTCAATAATTGAGGAAACATTCTGGCTGAAGCTATAAATGTTATGTATACTCATATTCACAGGCTAAAACACACAGATATTTATATTCATATTATGTCTCTCTCACACGCACACATATATCATACAAAATCCACATGTTCACACTCATGGACCACATAATAAAGAATATGCACACAATTTTTATGCCTGTGCCTATTCACATGTACAATGTTGCATACCTAAGATTCTCATTCTTATGTTCAGCTCACTTTCCTACTCTGGAAGAACACACTCACATTGCATGTTCCTATGTGCATATATAAGCACTGGCAACCACATTGATTGATGCTGCATGTTCTTACAACAGGGAAAAAGCAAAGGAACTGTGGCAGAATATCCATGACCTGGAAGCTGAGAAATTTGACTTGCAGGAAAAGTTCAAGAGGCAGAAATATGAGGTGAGTCTGCACATCTGTTGAAATATCTCTGCTTTCTGAAAGGAAGGGCGCTTTTTGCAAGAAATTTCAGCAGCATCCAAAGATTGCTCTCTGAGTAATTTTTGAGACATTGTATCAAAAGAGGACAAAAAGTACCCATTCATTGAGAGGGAGAGCAATGCTTTCTGACAGCTGCTTCATTTGCCCTCACTTTGTGGCTAAATTTGATTGGCTACATATTGTGCCATTATAATCCTTTTCACTATTCAATCCCAAGTAGCTAGCATCACCCCTGCCACTGATGCAACAAGTATTGTCCTCATGGTCAATTATCTTCATTTGCTCTGTGGGATGTCATGTTGACATTCCATCATGATACCATCCCATTCAGCACACAATTCCTGATTGGCTGGGATTTCCCACATTTCTGTAATCAGCAAGATGACTCAGTGATTATAAAGGAGAAAATGGCACTGAAGCAGCAGCAGATTGAAATGGGAGGGGAATATGAACGTTTTCATCATGGGAGCTTTTCAGGAAATGTTTCCCCTTCTTTGAAAGTGTTACTTGCACCTTGAAATTGAAATGGGCAAACATTCAACGCAGTTTTAGTTGATACTTGTCATGCTTTGCCTCCTCTTTTCCTTCTTGCTTAGAAAAACCACAGGTATGTCATTTGATCATACTTGTCTCACTGAACTTCATCTCCCTTTGGAACCTACTTCAGAAATCAGAGCCAAATGGCTCATTAAATGAGTGGAGTCTGGCACTTTTCTGCTTCAAATGGTTGTAGCTTTATGGATGAAGTAGCATCAGTCTAGGTCTGTGAAGGTCCTGCCTAGTCTCGCCAGACATTGAAGGACACCCCAAACCACACCATAAGCTGCACTAGACTGTGTCAAAGCCAACCTGGCCCATTTCAATTTGACCAACAAATATTTCTACCCTGAAGACCACGTTTGTAAGTGCCTTGTGATCACTCACCTGCCTAGTAGCTTATTGAGTCTAGAAAAATAGTGTTGCAGCCGCTTAATCTGCACTAGAACTGGCCTAAATACACCACAGCTCATGCTACCTGTCTCTTTCACTAACATCACATTTAAGCTAGGGTCGAGCCTAAAATGCAAATTTCCAAACTTTTGACTTGAAATTCTGAGGGTAAGATAGGGGAATGAAATAGGGGGACATATTGGAAAGGGAAAATGTCTGAAACATTCGCCAGTGGTGGGGGCTTCCTGAATGGCAGGGGAGGTGGCAGAGGTGGCAGCAATGACAGTATTTTTCTTTTGGGGAGTGGGTGTCTCATTAGTGGCAGTGATGCTTTCCCTGGCAGTTGCAATTTGACTGCTTTCTTTTACCAAAATGCCCCAGACTTAGTTCTGGAGTATTTCTGATTTCCCCCTCTTTTTACTACTTCCCCTCCAGCAGCTGCCATTTCTTTGAGGGGGCCAGAAGAATGCTTCATCTAGGGCATTTGCCTTTCAGGGTTTCAATGATGGGGGTGTGTGGATTTCTGCAAGCCTTGGCATTTCCCCAGGCCTGCTGATATCTCCATTTTGTGCATGGATGGTGTCATTTTGGCAACAGACGATCAGAAACCAAAGGACAAGTTTGCTATTAGTATATAGGATGCACTCGACCTCACCTATAGTTTGGCTTCTCGTACTGAGCACTGCTTTCTCAGGATCGCTGCCTTCTTTTTGTTAATTTTCCCTTTGCAGGGGCTTTCACATCTATAATAATCTCCTTTCTCTAACCCTAACTAGATTTCCATACTCACTGCACGCTGCGATGAGTTAAGCAAGTAGTAAGTATGGCCTGTCCCCACCCCACTTTGCTAATGGCAGTGCTGTGATGAATGATGAAACGTGTGGAGCTAAGTGTGGCCCAGTGAAGTTCAGTCCATGTCAGCATCTTCTCAAGATGGTATTTCATTGTCTTGCATGTTTGCCCTGCTTAGCTTGCAAAGATTTTTGGGATCAGCCATTTGTCTTTTCAGCCAGATCCTCTGAAAGGGGTAAGTACTTGGATGCACCTTAGGATCCTTTCTCCTCTGCTTTGGATCCTTGCACCAGAAGCTGGAGCTTCTTGGCACCTTAACTGAACAAAAACTCCATTACTAGTTATCCACATGGATTTGCTCTTTGACATGGTATCCCTCTGGCATTGTCTTTATTGCATTTGTCCTGCTTTGTGAACTTCATGAGCAGAGCGCATTTGTGCAGAGAACAACACGTAATGCTCAACGTATAGCAAACTTTAGAGATGCTTTGAAAGAAGCACCGAGTCCAGGAATTGCTACAAATGGCACAGCGTTGCTCCCAAGCATCTATTAACTGTAGAAAAGTGGATATTTCTAGAAGATTCTGTAACTGGTCAAGGTCATGATGGGAAAACTTTGAAGAAGCATCCTGAAAAACTCACCTGAAGCCTTCAAGAATGTTGGAGAGCAGCCTTTGTTCTCAGTCTCTCCCAAGGCTATTTTTCTAGAAAAAGAGGTGCCAGAACTCACCACGAATGCCTCCATTCTCTTGTAATGGCAATCGCACCCATCTGAGAGGTGCTGGAACTGGGTTCCAGTGAGTTTCAACTGAAAAAAGCCCTGTTCCTTCCACCAACCATGCCAAATTTAATCTCAGCTGCCTGGATTTGTAACGCTCCCATTTAGTGTGGAAATAATATTTCATGGCAGAGAAAAACTTCTAAGTATCACATTAGATAGTATGGACAAACAGATCCACTGTCCTTTCTGACTCCCCGTCTTTACCTATGGAAATTCCAACAATTAGAGGGATTCTTTACCCACCACACAGCCCTGCTGACTACTGTGTGTGATAAAACCAGCCCATGCTTAGACTTCTTTTCTTGCTGTCTTCACACAGTGGCCGTCCCGATCCCCACATGGTGAAGTATTGCCATGTAGCTTCACCTCTTGTCTATTTCTCTTGCAGATTAATGTTCTACGGAACCGCATTAGTGATCATCAAAAGGTGTAAGTACTCAGGCCATCCAGTTTGATAGTATCCAGCATTCCCATTAGATCTTTCACAACCCCCCACTTTTACTTTTACAGGTGCACCACTTTCACCCTTCCCTTCTGTAAAATACTTGTTTGGAGCTTTCAGGATTTTGCTTGTGTTTTGCTTCCGTTCTTAACTTCCTGCTGTTCCTCCTTTCACTTTCATTGTCATTAGCATTTGTCAGCCCTTCTCATTTCAGTTCTTGGCTTCTTTTTGCTCTAGAAAGCCTGCTGCTGTAATAATAGGCTATGCCTTTGTGTTCAAGAATCTTGGATTGAGCACTTCTGGCTATTCACAGGATTGATACTGTTAGATTCCATTTAAGAAACAACAACAACAACCTTGCTTTATCACCACCTTTTCTTATTTTCTTTCTTTAGTCCTCATTTCAGCTAGTCACTGCTTTTACTGCCTCCTGCCTCCCATTTCACACCCTTTATTTCACCCCTCCTTGTTGCTTGATTCTGTCATTTCATTTCCCTTCCAATCCACCTTTCAGACCAGAGTCACATCCACACCATCCATTTAAAGCAAAAGACCAAAATATCAAGAGGGCACCAGGTTGGGTGAGGCTGATCTAGACCATGTCAGGCTCACTTCAGACTTGGAATCAACATGCACAGGGTTTTTCACTGGCCACCATTCTATAGACACTTGGATGTCTATAGAAAGAGACCCTCATTGGTGTTCAGGGAGCTTAGCACACTTTGCTAACTGTGCCATACTTTGTCAGGGCAGATTCACACCATACATTTAAATTACATCCAGCACATATTCAAAGCAGATGACTTCCCCCAAAGGATCCTGGGACCTGTAGTTGCTTAAGGGTGCTGGGAGTTGTAGCTGTGCCTTAGATGTATGGTGTGTTGCGGATGTGCTTTTCTCCATTTGCTTCTTTCACCTAAAGTTCTTTCCTGGTTTTCTGTTTCAGCCACATTTCTCACCAGGCCCCTCCAATTTATTTCTTCCCTTGCATGCCTTTTGCACACCTGCTTCGTTATTTTGTTCTGATCTCTGAACTCCATCACTTCCTCACCACTTTGGGTCATCATTTTATTCACTCCTTCACAGCATTTCCCCTTCTAAGGATATGTCTATGAACACCATTTAGGAAATAGTTTGGCATAGTGCAGTAGCTGAGCTGTCTGTTTACCATCATCCACTTATTGAGAGCTGGGGCATTCATCCTCTTTCCTTACATCAGCTCATCTCCTTTCAGCATGTATAAATCTGACTTCTCTGTCTGTAGAAATTATTGGGGACCTCTGTTGGATTGCTTGGTGCAGTCACCCATTTCCTTCCATGCTTCATGTCTCCATGACTCCATGGTTCACAGATGGAGAGCAGAGGACAGGAGATGCTAAAGAACTTGCTTGGTGTCCTGTGTGTAGCTGATGGCAGAGTAGGAAATGAATCATCACCTGCATTCTTGACAGCAATGCTGATCAACATGGAACATTCTTCTTCCACTTTACATGAACAAGTAGCGTAGCCATCTTTCGGAGTGGCTGTGCAGGCAAAATTGTCAGAAGGTTCATCTTTTTAATCCACTTGTCCAGAAACAAATGGCAGCCTGCATTAGGAATGCCTCCTTCTCTAGCGACCTTTTAGGTGCACCAAACTGGTTAGTCAAGAATGTTACGTGCTTCTCACACCATATTTCTTCTTTTATTCCCTCCTAATCTGCTTCAGGAAAGGGTGAGTAGCATGTTGCATCCTCTATGGTGTGCTGTGGTGGCTTGCAGTGCATGTAATGAAGGAAAATGACTTTATGTTCCAAATTAGGCCCTGGATTTCTGTATCAGGGATAGTTTACTGGTAGTTGGATATGTGTTACTTTAAGCAGCTGGATAGGGACACTTGCTTTAGTAACTGGGAGTTAGATATATCAAAGTGCAGTCATGCTAAATGTTATGCTAAATGTTAGCAATTACAGTGGTACCTCGGGTTAAGAACTTAATTTGTTCCAGAGGCCTGTTCTTAACCTGAAACTGTTCTTAAACTGAGGTACCACTTTAGCTAATGGGGCCTCCTGCTGCTGCCACACGGCCGCACAATTTCTGTTCTCAACCTGAAGCAAAGTTCTTAACCCGAGGTACTATTTCTAGGTTAGCAGAGTCTGTAACCTGAAGTGTCTGTAACCCAAGGATATATATGTAGAGAGAGAGAGTTTGTATGTATACCCCTCAATATTTTTGAAATCCAGGTCTCGGATTATCTTTACACCTTGCCCTTTTCAGTGTGCACATAAGATTAAGTGTCCAATTTATAGACCAGCAGGGCCAACAGGGAAGATGGGAGGTGTATAGGCCAATCACATCTGAAGAGCATCACACTGGCGATCCCTTCTATATAGTGAGAAACAGCCCTCTGGACCTTATCTCTTAAGGCACATGCCAAGCTTATATCTTAAGGTGAATACCTCTACTGATGTTGGGGTTCTGATGTCAGGAAAGCAAATGGCACAGAGGCTTCCACAACAGACGTAGGGGACTTATGAGGCCAGAATCTCCTTCCCAAGACCACTCTTTCCACCCAGAGGGGAGGAAGATCCAAAACATCCTGTGGCCTGTAGGATGTAGTCTTGTGCTGGCCACAGGTTCCCCATCCTTACTGTAGAATAATTCTCAAGCCCTTATCTGCTCCCAGAATACAATTCTCAGGGTTCCCTGGAGAAAAAGAACCAGTTCTACCCAAGCTTTAAGTCTGAGAAACAGATATACCTGTAAAGGCACAAGATGAAGTTCGTTCAGGATTCCACAACTTGGGCTCCCAGCTCACTGCTTAGTGTGTATAAACACAGCAACTTTGCATGAGTTCCGCTCACATTGCGTTTTCTTCATGTGGACTGCACATGCCATGTGGACACACTCGCCTAGGAACCACGTTGGGATCTGTGTGGATGCCACTGAATGAGTGACCCACAGATACCCCTGTGCAATAGGCACCCCCACAGTGCTGTTTGACTGTAAAAGTGGACACTTCCCTTCTCCCTCACCTCTGCCTTTTGCTTTGATCTCACTGATGCCTGAAATACCTCATTTGCTTCTCTGCTTCTCCAACAGCTCAAAGGCCGCCCGTGGGAAGCCTGTGGTTGGTGGCCGGTGGAAGTGAGAGATGGTTTGTGTCCAGCCTGCAGAGACGGCAGAGCAGGATACTTCTGCGTGGGCCAGCCTTTGATCCAGCATCCCAACCCATGTGGCCCAAAGGAAAGCACCAACTCTTCCAGATTATTCAGACCAAGCCACCTTCCAATGGCTTCACTCTGTAGAATGACTGTAGGTGTGTGTGCAGCACTGTCACGGCACGGAGCAAACACGCTGCTGTGTGGAAAAAATGACTGTGTCACCAAAGTTAAGCATACTGTGTCTGTAAATAAAGCAAATCATGCAGCAATACCCACTTTATTTACCTGATTTCTTACAACCCATCAGGGGAAGGTATATAAACCAGCGGGGGGGGGGGGGGTCGTCTCCTATTGTCACTGCTGCTTTCATAGGACCCAGACCGGTGAATCGCTGCCTAGAGGCTAGAAGCATTTGTGTATCAGGAACACCGTGGAAGCTGTTGTGAGTGTTTCTCTTGCCAGTAAAGAGTTAACTATCAGACGTGTGCCTTAGTTATCTGGGACAGGCTCGTGACATTGTCACATGTATTACTGGCAAGCCAGCACAAGTCCTGCAATACTCTATGCAAATGCCCTTGTTTTGCAACCCTATAGACAGTTTAGTGTGAGAGGTTTTGAGGGGTGGGGTGATAGAGAGAGATTTATCTCTGCCGAAACATACTCTGAAGCAGGCCTAGTCAATATGGTGTCCTCCAGCTGCTCTTGGAGTTCAGCTGCCATCTTCCGTAACCATTGCCCATGCTTGTAGCAGCATACAAGAGATGCAGTCTGACAACATCTAGAAGGAAGAGTTTGGATTTGATATCCCGCTTTATCACTACTCGAAGGAGTCTCAAAGCGGCTAGCATTCTCCTTTTCCTTCCTCCCCCACAACAAACACTCTGTGAGGTGAGTGGGGCTGAGAGACTTCAGAAAAGTGTGACTAGCCCAAGGTCACCCAGCAGCTGCATGTGGAGGAGCAGGGATGCGAACCCGGTTCACCAGATTACAAGTCTACCGCTTTTAACCACTACACCACACTGGCTCTCCCTTGGTTTCAAAGAAGCATGTGGTTCTAATGCAGCGAGAGGAACTACTGAAGATTTGTGAGTGAAACACCAAGGGAATTTGCAGGAAGCGGATTTGTCAGGCAGAAGCTCTACTGTCAGGCACTAATCATTCTGAATGAAGCAGGCAAAGATCAGCACAGATACCAACAGCTGTTCTCCCGCTATTGCCTCCCTAGCCAAACCAAAACTCTTGAAAAGTCCACTGCAGTACATTTCCCTTTGATTGACACAAGGTGGCACCCTGGCCTCTGTCTCTGACTTCACCTTGCCAGTGATCACACCCTGCTTTTTAACAGCCACGCCAAACTCATGGTATTGTTCAAGCCAGAGACACGCCTGCCAGTTTTCGTTTCCTCACTCTGTCCACCACTAGCGTAGCTGAATCAGCCACCTGAGTCAGCGAGTGGTGAAGCGGAGAGCACAAGCCTCAAGAGCTTGTTCAACACCCATCACTCCCAAAGGCTTCTATTCTACCTTCCTGACTAAACTAGCTAGATTAACGGTGGAACCACTTGCAGAGAAGAAAGGGGTGGATTATTTAGCCAAACTGGAGGCCCATCCATGGTTGATTTTGGCCATATGTAGGCAGTTTGCTTGCAGAAGCTAAATAGATGGAGAGCATGAAAAACATAAAAAGGAAAAACAGGAGAGGATCTTGAGATACCACAGGATTCCCCAAGTTGTAGTATATGGTCCATGAGCTTCATTTGGATAATTTACAATTTGAATTCTATAGGATTCTATGGCATTCAAATGTAATACAGTAAAATACAATATAAGAAATATAAGGAGCAATCAAAAGCTAGTTAACGTTATACCATATACAGCTCATTACAATTGCTATGACAGGCAGAAAGAAGTAAATAAGTGGATTGTGAAGAACCCCATCAATTTTCAAGTGGTCTGTAGTGGTGGGGTTTGGGAACTACTGACCTAGAATAATGTTTTGAGATCTAAAGAAAGTATCTCCCATGATTTCTGTGTCCTGCTATAAACATCAGTGGTGTGAACATCTGAATATGTTCCTTAATTATGCTTTTCAACAATGCACCCCATGGTTTCCTGGCAAATTGGGTAGATATGCCAAAATATGTAACCATTTCTGGCATCTAGGGAGAAAGGCTACAAAAATATAAATATAACTATAACTCACAAGGCACCTTCCTGAATCTAACAAAATACATCCTGGTAGAGACAAACTGAAAATCACATCTGGCAGCTATCCCACAAATGTGAATGGGTGCCGTTTCCCACCCATCTTTCTTCATCTCAGCTGATAGGAGCTGGGGATCGCGAAAGAGAGGTGCTGGTGTCACACGTCAAAAGCCTATTGCATCGCATAGAAATAGGGTCAGCCCTACTGTGAGGCAAAGTTGTTGCCCCAGGTGGCAGGTGATGAGGGAGGTGACAAAGTGTTGAAAGGCAAAGCTGTGGGTGTCACATGGCCTGTCTGGCACCCTCTAAGTTAGCCTGCTGCCTTCAGATGTGGTGGAGGCTGCTGTTCCATCACCACTGTTAATTCATGGAGGATAAGGCTATCATTGACTACTAGCTGTGTTCTACCTCAACTCTTGGAGCCTGGAGGCTGGTATGTCTCTGAATGTCAGTTACTGGGAATCACAGATGGGGAGTGTACTGTTGTACTCAGATCCTTCTTGCAGTCTTCCCATAGGATGTTGGACTAGATGGGCCATTGAGCTGCTCTAGCAGGGTCTTCTATCTTCTCACGTAACTGTAAATCCAGTTGGCATCTGCACATGGAGCAGGGGAAGGTTGACCTCAGGCAGCAAAATGTCTTGGCCCAATGTCTGGAAAGTGTTCAGCTGCATGTGTATATGTGTGCAAAAGGACAAGACACAACTACTTAATCAGGGCTTTAGTAAGTGTTGGTCCCATAAGGGAAGCAACAACTCTCTTTAAATTGGGCTCTGGAGGTTATCATCTCCTGCCAAGAACGCGTTTTTGCTTTCTGAGCTCCCTGTTGGTCCTCAAGGTACAGAATCATTTGCAGAGTTTGTGGGCTGTGCAAGACAGTAGCCATTCTAGAATGCAAACAATAGTAATATCAATGTGTTTTATTAATTAGGCAATCATCTCAAAGCCAATCATAAACATAAGTAATGTTCAATGTAAGGAGGCACATTTTAGCAGAAATCAGGCATTAGTCACTGTGACCTACAGCACAACAATGCAAATATAGTGTTTAACTTTGCTTAGTCGATGCCAATTGGCAGGTAAAGAAAACAGCTCCACTGGAACCCATTCTAAAGGTGTGTGGGGGAGAGCTATTAGTTTCTCAGAAGAGCACAGCTCCTGAGTCATGTGCTTTGCATGTTGTCTCTTGCCACTGTTTTGTGTAAATGTATTAAATGCAAGAAGTGCACTTTTTGTGCCTAGCTCAGGAGTCACTCAAAGAGGTGCCAGGATTTACTGTCAGTCTGGAAGGTTTCATCTGGAGAAACAACACTGCATTAGTCTGTATCTGCACAAATGTACACCCACATTCACATACCCCAAATGGAGTAAACCAGAAGCAATCATTATCTCAGATCGGGTCCATGACACCACCATCCTTTCTGGCCTTAGATGTAGTCTGTGCTCATGGTCAAAATCACACATATATTTCCAAGTATTTGGGAATCTTCTGCTATTTCAGTCAGTGCAAATCATCACTGTTAAAATTTACCCTTTTCTGCTTAGAATGTTGCCACAGTCCCTCCAACCTGCACACAAGAAGCCACTTCCCCGCTTGCCTGTCCCAAATGTTGACCCAAATCGCCTTGAGATTAAAAAGTCTTGTCAATTTCACAAATGTCTTATCAGGTCTTTTAAAAAACAACAGCCTAATTAGTGGCACAAACAGAACCCTGGTGTCTCTTGCTAAGTGTCAAGCCGCATACCTTCTCCTAGAACCCATGAGAATTGCTGGATCTTTGCACTCTCTTGGGATCAGGCCTGAACTTGAAGAGCCTGGGCGTGTGAGTTTTGATTGGCACAAATCCCACGAATGGCTGAACTGAAAATTCAGGAGGCGATACCTAAGGAGAGGAGATGGTACCTGGCTCCACTTTTACACATCAACAAACTGGTAGCTTCAACTCAACAAGCAGTGAGAAATATATACAAAAGTAATGAGAAGATTTCCTACACTGAGGTCTTCCTCCTTATCAGCTAGAAAAGCAAAGTGTACTATTTCCCAGGTACCTTGGTGAGATAAGCAAGTATAGATACCACAATACTCTTGATTACCATCAGAATAATGCTGGTTATAGTTTTAGCACTGCATATATTTTTAGTTGAGTAGATCCAGGGAACTGCAAGTCTATAGGAAGTGCAGCAGTATAACTACACCTGGATTAGTGTTGGTTACAGAGACATTGGCTGAGGAATGCATTTTTTTTCAACTAATACCACAGATAATATAATGCCAGCTAATACAATGGCAGTGGTAACTGCTGGCATATTCAATGCAAATTCCATTCTTCTTGTGTTAAGTGTTATATGCACACTTTTGGTCATGAAAACATTCTCCCATTTGCCACAGTTAGGATCTTTGTTCCTTTAATATTTCCACAATAGACAAGAAAAACAGCAAGTGAAACTATACTGGTCACTTTATCTCCATGCTGAAAAAATAAATAAATTTAGCTCTCAGTATAGGTAGGGACGCGGGTGGCGCATGGGGACGCGGGTGGCGCTGTGGGTAAAACCTCAGCGCCCAGGACTTGCCAATCGCATGGTCGGCGGTTCGAATCCCCGTGGCGGGGTGCGCTCCCGTTGCTCGGTCCCAGCGCCTGCCAACCTAACAGTTTGAAAGCACCCCCAGGTGCAAGTAGATAAATAGGGAACGCTTACTAGCGGGAAGGTAAACGGCGTTTCCGTGTGCGGCTGTGGCTCGCCAGAGCAGCTTCGTCACGCTGCCCACGTGACCCGGAAGTGTCTGCGGACAGCGCTGGCTCCCGGCCTCTAGAGTGAGATGAGCGCACAACCCTAGAGTCTGTCAAGACTGGCCCGTACGGGCAGGGGTACCTTTACCTTTATAGGTGGGGAAGAAGTCAGATTCAGTTTGCATTTAAAGCCAAATTTTTCACATATGCGTTTTCCAAAACAATATAATAACTGAAATCTAGTCATCCTTTGAAATTTGCACTTAGCTGTATTTTGTAGTTCTGCAGCTAACAAATGCTTACAAAAATGCATATATTAAGTAAAAGCAGTGTGA